CCCCCCGCCCAGCAGAGCCCCCCGGCAGACCGCCCCCGGCAGCCCCCCATCTGTCCAAGGGTTGTATCCTGGCTTGTTTCCTTCCCATTGGACATTTAGGTTGTTTCCTTTTTTATCACACTAACAACAGCGTCTCATTACAAATATAGGACATGCGGATTCCTCCATATTTAGGATTAGTACTTGAGGGCAGATTCCCAGAAGTGAAATTACCTGGACCGACAGCTGAACATTTTGAAGACTATGTTCATAATGCCAAATTGCTTTCCAAAGTGGCGGATCAGTTTACACCCCCTGCAGCAGGGGACAGCGGGGCTGGCTGGGCTTTCATTTCTCACTCAGAAAGCGATGCTAAGACCATGGCTTACGCACCTCCTGGACAATGCTTCTAGGAGGAGACGGGCAGGCCTGTCCTTGGGGCAGACGCTTCTGATGGACGCGCTGTGGCTGTCCTGAAGTTCTGAGGCAACAGAACAGCCGTCAGTATTCAGCTAAACTAATGGGCGGGGGGAGTGTTTTAAAATGAAGGCAACCAAGAATTCCCTACTCTTCCGACTACGGCGACCACCAGAGTTATGGCACCGCTACTGTCTCCAGATCCTGCAGACACGACAAAGGCTCACGGCATCTCCGTGCCCCTGTGGGTCAGTACCTTGGACAGGGCAGGCAAGGTGCAGGTGCTGCCCCACCAGCCGCATGCACTCGGCGTCCATGAACTCGAACGCAGACAGGATCTCGCCCAGCAACCTGTTGCAGGAACTGAAGGCCTGCAGGACTTCAGTGAAACCGGGACAACCTGCAACAGGTCAGACAACACCGCGTCAGCATGGGCCGGAGAAGGGGACACGAGGCCAGATGACCGATGTGGTCCGCAGCCCCGCACAGGCGCCCTGAGAGCAGGACAAGAGCCCGACTGCGTGGGCAGTTGTCACCATGGGTGGGCGGGATGCCATGTGGGGACACCCGCTGCCTGCCAGTGTCACAGATGAAGAAAGTGCTCGCCTGAGAACGGCCCCACAGCACTCGGGAAGGTGGAGGGTCGCCAGAAACGAAGTCTCCAGGTGCGCGGAGCAGTCTTGTGACAAGTCCTCAGAGACAGGTCAGAACCAAATTCTCTTAGCACAGTTAGTGCTAAAGTTTTACTGGGCTCTTAATGCACTCAGAGTCTCTGGGTGTTGCAAACAGTTAATGCATTCACCTGATAACCTAAAAGTTGGATGTTCAAGTCTACCTAGAGGCACCTTGGAAGAAAGGCCTTCCAAAAATCAGCCACTGAAAACCCTGTGGAGCAGTTCAACTCTAACACGTCGGGTCACCATGAGTTGGAATCGACTCCACGGCAAGTGGTTTGGTTTGGTTTTTATTAATGCATTCAACAAACGTTCACTGAGCTTCCACAAGGTAGCAATGCCCCAGGTGTTGGGGAGGTGTCAGCAGAGCCCCCGCCCCAGGGAGCACCATGGAGCAGCGAGGCTGAAGGGAAACGAGGAGGCAAGGGCGTGTGTCAGCAGGTGGTAGGGCTGGAGTACCTTCAGGCCAGCACCCAGGGGCCTGTGTGGGCAGGGGTGGTCCCTTACATGGCCTTTCAGGGCCAGATGAAAGGAAGTGAGAGAGTTACTGGACGTCGGGAAGAGCGCTCCAGAGAGATGATCCAGCAAGTGGATCGACAGGGCAGAGAAGGGCAGGCAGAGGAGGGACCTGCTCTGAAGGTGCAGTCAAGGATGGTTCAAGCGTGGGGTATGAAGGAAAGAAGGAGACGAGGGCACAAAGAGGCAAAAGCAGCAGGACGAACTGGCTGCTGTTCACTGAGATGGGAGGCCCTGGGAGAAGCGGGTTTGGTGGGACTCTTGGGAGTCAATTTGGACTCTGATTGTTCAGTTTGAGAGCCTTTCAGACAGCTCCATGGCGCTGTCCCAGGGTGGCCAGACAGATGAGTGTAGGTTCAGGGGGGGTTTTGGCAGGAAATGAAACTGCAGATGGAATGTGAGCCATCCATCTGTATGACTCACCCAGAAAGGGAGTCGGGAGAGGAAAGTCAGATCTGCGCCGGGGCACCCAGCATTCCAGGTCAGGGAGGGGAGTGGAAGGAAAGGAACCGGGGTGGGGGGGGTAGTGAGGAAGGAGGCTGGAGGGGATGGCAAGAAGGAGGAGCACCAAAGAGATGGGGTCATGCCAGAGGCTGAACAAGCAGGAGTCGTGAGAACTGACCACTGGGTGGGCAATAGGGAGGGCACTACAGGCCCTGGCAAGAGCACGATTAATGGTTGGTGGAGAAGTGGGGCCAAAGCCCGAGTAAAGAGAGGGGAAAAGTCTTCTGCCTGGTGAAGGGGGACTGGCCGTTTGGCCCCACGCCCACTGAAAACAGGAAGAACTTCTGGACAAAAAAACAAAACTAAAGCATGAACAGCACCAAGAGAAAGGGGATGACAGGCTTGATTTGGGGGGGAACTCAGTGCCATGGGGGTAGGGCCGCCACCAAGCCCAGAACGACTCTTGCCCAGATGGCACGTGCCACACCCAGAAGATTTAGCCTTGGGCATCCACAACCTGCTCAAGGTGAGGAATCTAACAGGAGACCCTCCTCACAGGACTACATCCTCTGGGTAAGGCTGAACCAGAAGTAAGTGTGCCTCTCACCCAGCACAAAAGACTGCAGGGGAAGTTGTCTTAGCGCTGAACAGAACAAGACAAAAAAAGAAAAGGAAAAAGAAAAACTTTTTACTGATAAATTGTGACCATAGATTGGCCCTTGTGCTGACGGCAGACTGGGTTCTTGCTGACTGCATGGTTCATAGACCCTCAAGGCCATGAACTTGGACTGGTTGCCTCCAGACTGGTAGGATCCACAGCCACCTAGCAGAAGCAAATGAAATCCTCTCTGGGGGAAGGCACCTTTATCCTCAGCCTCTAGAAATTCCTACAAATAATTCTTCAATGGCAATGAGTTGCATACTACCAAAGATAACCAAGCACACAAGGAAATGAAGTACCATGAGAAAGAATAAGCAGAAACAACAGACAGTAAAAACAGACCACACACTTGAAAAAATGGCATCATCATATTATAAAACAATTACACTAACTATGTTTAAAGATACAAATGATGAGTTTGAAAATATCTGGAAGGAATAGAAAACTATAAAAAGTAATATTGAAGATCTGAAAAAGAACCAAATAAAACATCTAGACATGAAAACTATAATAATATTAAAAACTCAATGGACAGGAACAAAAACCCTCCATGGATAAGTTTGGCAGTATATTAAACACAGCAGAAGGGAGTATTCATGAACTAAAAGACAGATGAGCCAGAATGCAACACAAAGTAAAAAAAAAGGAAGATACAGAGGGGAGGTTATGACAGAGGACACTGAAAAGTTCTAGCATATGTTTAATCACAGCCCAAAAAGAGGGGAGAAAATGGGCCATATTTGAAGAAGTAATAGCTAAGAAGTTTCTGGAACTAATAAAAGACCCCAATCCATGGATTTAAGAAATTCAACAAATTCCAAGGCAGAAATAAAAAGAGAAGTACACTCATACATGACATATTGAAAACTGTAGAAGACCAAAGATAAAGAGAAAAATCTTTACAGTGGCCAAAAAAAGAAAAAAACTTCAAAGCAGCAGCAGTTAGATGACAGCTGACTTCCCACCAACAACAATGGAAGCCAGAAGACACTGGAATGTGTTTCCAATGGGATGAAACAAAATAAATGTCAGTAAAGAACATGATCCCAAATGGACAACCTGATGCAAGAAGGAATGAAGAGCAAAGAAAGTGGTTTATAAAATAAAAGTTATGATTAGACAAACTAAAAAAAAAAAAAAAATACCCTAGATAGAATTAAAATACATGACAACAATAACATGCAACTTGGGAGGGGGATAAACGGAGTTAAAATATTCTAAGATTCTTGAATCTTCCAGGAAGACAAATGTATTGATTGAATTTAGACTTAGTAAGTTAATTATCTGGAGCCCTGGTGGCGAAGTGGTTAAGAGCTCAGACTGCTAACCAAAAGCCTAGCAGTTCAAATCCACCAGTTGCTCCTGGGAAACCCTATGGGACAGTTCTACCTTGTCCTATAGGGTCACTATGAGTTGGACTTGACTTGACAGCACAAGAACAAGTTAATTACAGGAGTCCCTGGTGGTACAAACAGTTAATGTGCTCAGCTACTAACCAAAAGGTTGGAGGTTCGAGTCCACCCAGAGGTGCCTCAGAAAAAGGGCCTGGTGATCTACTTCCAAAAAACTGACCACTGAAAACCCTATGGAACACAGTTCTACTCTGACACACGAGTCGGAGTCAACTTGACAGCCACTGGTACTGGTACTGGTATTGGTATTGGTACTGATACCATTACTGGTGCTGGTAGAAGACTAATGCATAAGGACAAGATCCTCTTTTCCTCAGCTCCCTACAAGGCCAAGCTGGAACCCAAGCTCTTCAGTCTGTCGTTGGACATGTTGTAGCCTCACACATGTCTGCCGTCAGCTCATGAGGTCATGTGGTCAAGAGCATCAGCTCACCTCAAACCCAAGGAAAGAGCAACAGAGTGTGAGCAGATAAAAGGCCAAAATGATGAGCAATTCGTTAAAAATCATCCTGTGCCCAATGGGAAAGAATGGCACATCCCCAGGGAAGAACAAACCAGAGACTTTACAGAAAGAAGCTCCCGGTAATGAAAACTCTACTCAGGGCTCTCAAGAAAGCGGAGAAGGAAAAGCATAAAGGGACCGCTAAAAGGCACAGCTAAGGATTTTCAGAGCAGAACTGAGTTAAGAACAGCGCACACACATCCGCACGAGTGAGAGCCTGCCGCCTGTCTCTCGAGTTGAAAAAATTCAATCACTGTGGCGTCTCAGAGCAGGAGGAGGTGCTGAGCCAGCATCTCTCAGGCTCTCCGGCCCGGCATCGGCTGAACTTCACCAACAGACGACAGGAGAGAAAGCGGAACTGACGGACTAGAAAATGGGTCAAGAGAGCGGACTTGATGAATAATGGGAGGATCAGAAAGGAGAAGAGACCAGCAGAGGCGAACAGGTAAGGAAATACTTGGAGTTTCTCGGGTCAGAAACCTTACTCATCACTGCGGAGGGCGTGGCCATGTGTCCATCTGCGAGAAATCTCCCGGAGAAGGCATTCCCGCTGCTGCACACACATCGGGGCTCAGAATTCTGAGTGTCGGGACGTGGCAGGGGCTGACACCTGGGTGGCAGCAAAGGACACGGAGACTGAATGCTCTCTCTCACCTCAGAGGAGGATAGGGGTTTGGGAGAGCGCTCCAGGGGCTCAGAGACACGGGGGTCCCCACAAGAGCACAAGCACAGCAGTCTCACCGGTCCGACCCTCCCCTTTGCAGGTGGGAGTGTCACCTCAAGGCAGAGAGGATGGAACACAAAGCCAGTAAAAGCCCCCACCCACGGAGCTCTCTGTAAGGAGCAACGGGTGACTGAGATGGGAATTTCCTGTGCCTCCTTGGCTGGGCAGCACTGCCCAGTCTAGGTTTTGCTGTGAAGGCATTTTGCTGATGGGATTCACATCTCCAATCAGTTGGCCTCGATAAAGCAGATCACCCTCTATCATGTGGGTGGGCCTCATTAATCAGCTGAAGGCCTTAAGAGCAAAAACTGAGGTCTCACTGAGAAGGAGTTCTGTCTCAAGACTGTGACATAGAAATCCTGCTGGAGTTTCCAGCCCGCTGCCTGCTTATGGGCTTGGGACTCAAGACTACGACACAGAAACCCTGCCAGAGTTTCCCTCCACCTCCCCCGAGCATCTGTCAGTTT